GTAATACACTACTTACTACGTACACGTACGTTAGTAGTAGGTACGTTACTTACGTTAGTTAGTTACGTAACCGTACGTACTATACTAACTAACACTACTATATATATATATATATATATATATATATATATATATATACACACACTATCATTTCTAGTTTTTAAAATTTATTTATTTTTACAGATTAATAATCTCCATGTTAAAGTACATTATTAGGATCAAATTCTAATTCAAAAATAAATTATTAAGGGGCCCGCATTTCTACATGTAAGTCTGTGGACTCATAGAACCCATGTCCATAACTAAATGAGCCCGCAAGCCAGCTAAACACACAAAACATAAAAGAAAAATCTGTTCATGCTGGTCTAGAAAAAAAAAAATTTAAAAACTTAACAAGCATTTGCATATTTAATTAAGACAAAACAAATAAGGAAATGTTATTCTCCAATATCTGGTTATGCATGATAAATCAGCATTTAGAAAACTGGTGACTCGGACGCGGACTCTCCTGAGTCACTCAGACCCAGCAGGGTGCCAGTTCTGGATGAAAAAGACCAAACCCCGAGCTAGTCCCACCGAGCCCCGGTCCCCTTTTGTTTTTCAGCCACAGGCTCCGCCAAGGGGTCACTAGATGACTCAAGCTTAGGACCCTAGCAAGCCACTTGAACCCAGAAGGTGCTGGTCCGAGTGCAAAACCTACAGTGTACTAGGGAAACGTTACATGATGTTCCAGGTCACAATGGACCATGGCAAAGAGTGAACCACCACGCTGATGAGACCAATTAAGATGGTTGACATGGATTGCAGAATCACATAATTCTGTCCACCATTTTCACACACATTAGACATATTTTGGAGCATCCCTCTTAGCACAGACATATATTCTTCAAAAAGAAAATACTGGGAAAAAGGGAAATGTTATATGGACTGGATTGCCCTATTCTACAGATTTGAAGGAAGCCCCAAAAAACAAAAACCATCAATTATTTATTTTTTAAAAGAAATGACAGCAGCTCCTGCTCGAACTACAACTCAGAATCATCCATACGTGGGATGATAAGGTCTACAGTTTTAACAGCTCAAAATTATTTATTTTTTAAAAGAAATGATCAGAAGATGAGTCGATATGGGTCTGCAATATTTCAGGTCCAGAAAATCTTCCCAAAGTGGTTTTTTGGGCCCCGGTTAATACTGTAGAAATGGACGGCAAGTTTGCGATGGGTAAAGTCAATAAATCTACACATGCTTGCTTGTATGCTTGCTTGTATAGGGCCGTAGGCCAAGAATCACTTCCAATGTCTTCTTGGGGTAGCACAGTAGCGGCACAAATATCCAAAAATTCTATTGGCACCAAAGGTAAAACTACATAAAACAAGGGTAAAACAACATGAATTAAGGGTAAAGCTTCACCATACTTCATCTAGCAGCAAAGAAAGGGAGGGTCATTGAGCATCATTTCAACAAGAAATGCAATAGTCTCTCAAGCAGAGCAAATTTGTGAGCGGTAGAGTTGAAGCAGAAAAACCCATATCTCAACAACTATAACCACAGATATGCTTCTAGTAAAGATAAGAAGCATCAAACTGGAAGTCTTGGGTACAATCCCAAGAATTTGATGTAAGAATACGTTATTCAGATAAATATAATTAGGGAAAATTTCAAATAATGAAGAAAACCAGTTCTGATCTCACAATGGAGCTCAAGTGGCATCAGAAATGGTACACTCCAAAATTCTTTGGACACACCACTGCTCCAGAAAAACAAGCAAAAACTCCAAAAATTTATACATCGCTGAATCAGAATTACACCATTTGGTGAATTACATATTCAGGATCATACACACACACAAAAAGTTCTCAGGACACAAACAATCACTTAAAGCCAAAACAACTAGACCAAAACCAATTCAACAAAGCTCACTCAGAAAAACACCATTAAAGCACAAGGGAAGCCATTTCTGGTCTCAACACTCAAGTACCTTTCTTCCACAGCCAGATCAGTGAATTCTATTGACAACCTCTAAAAAAGCCTCCCCCTTTGTCAAATTTTTAAGCCCTCTCATGCTCCATGATGAATGCACATCCTTCTGCACAATTAAAGCCCTTCAAACAATAACTCAGCATTCATAGTTTTACACAATCAAAAGGACGAATCCCCCCCCACAAAACGATAAGCCACGTTCTAACTAGAGCTCTAGTGCCAAGCAAAGTCCCAGAAATGGCAGTTTTAGGGTTTCCAAAGGAATCTCCAGGTCAAACTCCACACCTAGCGTTACTGAAAGAGACTCACACAGACAGAAAGTTCAGAGAAGGGAATCCTTGCAGAGTGGAGTTAGTGGATGTCCAAAATTAGGGTTTGCAGTTAATGGAGTCCAAGAAAATTAGGGTTTTGACATTAATGGAGGATCAAATTTAGGGCTTTCTCCTTTGCAGGCGATCAGTTCCATTTCTGGCTTCCCTTTCTTTTGTTGGACTCGAGTCAGTGGGAAGAGTTTGAAAGGGAGAGGCTATTTATTGGTGTGGACCGTGGTTAGGATTTAACCGCGATCAATGGTTTGTTAACCAAGCGGTTGGGTTAGGGGGCGTTAAGAGTGTCGTTGATGACGTCATTGACTAGGGTTTAGAATGGAGATGATTGGTTAGAGTGCTACGCATTTCGAGGATGATCGCTTTAAGTGGGGGAATTAAGTTTAATTAATGGCACTAAACATGGTTTAGTAATTGATAATTACTTTTAATTTGGAATGGTATCGGTTTGAAGAGGGCCAGGGTTTACGTGAATCTAGGGGTGCACCTAACCTGTGTTGTGGAATCCACCCATTAGAATTCATCTGAGATGGATTTTGAATTTAAATTTTTGTTCATTCATGCATAACATCTAGTGGTGGTGTGAGCGGGTCGGGCCTATGGCACTCCAACACGTGATGCGTTAAGTTAGGGGCCTTTTATCTTAGGGACTTGCCCAACCCAAAAGACTCGATTAAGGGCCCTAAGCCCATGGGCCTAACCCCATTAATTAAGCCTAGGTTTAGGCAAGGTCTGGCTTGATGGGCCCTATGAAGGGCCCCAATCTTGGTCCATGTAAAGCGACTTGGCCCATTTACACCCCAATCACCATTATTGTGAATTTGAAAAGAAAAATAAATTTTGAGTTTAGAAATTATCTCTTTTATACTTTTTTAGACTATTCGGTTTAGTTCTATAAAGATTGTCACATCTTTATTATGTTTGGAGCTCCAAATTCATGGATCTAAGGCACAAATGAAATTATAATAAGTTGGGATGTATTTTAGATCCTAAATTCTTTGAGAACCAAGGTAGACACAAGCCGAATATCTCATCAAAACTTGTCCAAAAGATATTGAAATGGTTGAGAGAATAATAAGATTCCGGATCGAGGCATCAGAGGTGACGAGTTATTCGAAAATAACTCTAGACTGTGTTGATTAGTGTTTTAAAATCCTGAATCAAGTAGCCACTCTGTTACCTGCTATTCTATCCAAATCAAGATTTGGAATCAATGGGGATAGGTAAAAAATAATAGTAAGAAATAAAAAACAGTGGGAATCTCACAATTTAGGGGTTCACCCATCAATCTCGATCTAAATTACGACTCAATTGATTATGCATTTGTCATTACCTCAAACATCATTTCCTTTGGTCCCTGAAGCTTCGGCTTAGTGGTAGACATATCAGTCTAGGTGATAGAGGTCTTGGGTTCATATCATTAATGTTTGTCCAAGAAAAATCAAACAAACTGACCTACTATGTTTCTTAGTAGGACAAATGTTTCATGTGGGCGGGACCGCATTTCTACAATACGCAGTCCCAAAGTATAAAGCATCCATCTTAAAGATAGATGCACATAGGTGGTCCATCTAAAAACAATTGAAACTAAGAGTCCAAATATTTTCTTAATAGAATTATTATTTTTAATTTTTAAAATTTATTTATTTTGTCATATTCATGATGTCTATGTTAGAGATTACATGTCTTTAAAAATTAAGTCAAAAAATCCATCTCAAAAATAGATTTTTAAGAGGTGACTCATTTCTACATGACTCATAGAAACCCTGTCCTTTTCAGTATACTATAGAGACCGTATATGGACCTAGATATAGCTCCACATGACCAAATTGTACATTTAGTCTCATGGCCAAAACACCTATGTATTTTAAGCTAACAATTCTCCAAGTAACATTATCATGATGGATCGTTCAGAATAAATATTGCAATTGATGGTGATAACGGGCACTTCGTTAGTTCCAAATCTCTTTTCTTAAATCGATAGATCAAAATTTGTCGATCTTTTTGAGTTTTGCTATCTTTTCTTAAATCGATAGATCAAAACTTGTCAATATTTTTGAGTTTTGCGACGATGTTCGAACTGCTCGACCAAATGTACAAAAAAGTGACATCAGACCAATTAATGGAGAAGCACATATATAATGGAGAAGCTTCTTGGACACTTTTTATCTTGAAATGACTTAGAACCTCTAAGGTCTTGTTTGTATGCCTTGGCTAACAAACTACAAAACGGAGGGAGTTGTTATTAATGGGAAAATCAATGGTTTATTTGAATGCACTTGTTACCGCTGATAATTCACTATTTCAAGAAATTTATTTTTGCTAGTGAGCTATTTGTTTTTTGGCAGAGTCTATCATAATTTTATCTAATTTAACCTTATAGGTAGTTTTATATAGAAGTTTATATTTTTATTACTTTATCCAGAGTAATTTGTTGCAATTGCATATTTTTAGCGAGGAATAGCTAAAACTAGTTGAAAATCACTGAAAAGATAAATAATTAAATACTATTATGCACAATATAAGATATGTATCAAATAATTAACGTAACATATTAATTTCAGATAAGATAGTTTATACCAGTTAATGCTAACTACCAACGAAACAGGTCCCAAGTATCTTATTATGTAGACTTGGTGACTTTTTGACCACTGGATATAAATTTAGATGGCTACATTTATTCTATTGACCTAGCTTGTTATTCAAAACAAATTGTATTGAACTTTGTGACACACGAAAGCTATCAAATTTCACATCGAATAGTTATAAATACTTGTGACTTCTTTATACCAAAAGTAAATAGTCTCATTGTATACAATCTCATAAAATATGTACATGAGGAGTAAAAGTAGACATCTCTCAAGAGCTTTCCATGCACATGCATCTTTACCACCGTGCTCACTCAAAGCTTTCAGTAGGAGGGCGAATGTTCTCATCTCTCATAGATATGAAGCACTTTTTGCTACAGCAAAATACAAAAAAGGACATTGATAGGATGGTACATATTTTTTAGTTTCAATATTTTATGTGAAATTTGTTGGGTGAGTGTGGCCCTTAAAAGCCTTATGAGTGCTTGTAATAAATATTTTAGTATAATGGAACATGAATTATGGGGGAATGTGATCCTCTGGGGATCATACTAAGAGAATAACATTTGCTGATACCGAACTAAGCTCTACAAACTAGGCCAGTCAATTAAGAAAAATCTATGTTACTTGGGCATAGAAAACTGTTCGACAAGGGTTTTCATAGGTCATCCCTTGATGAGGTCGGGGTACGCCTGGATGAGTGAGTCAAGGGATAGTGTGATCCTTGTGTGTAGTGGTGACCTTCAGAGACGGAGGTCAATGCCTCATCCGCATGCCATCACACGACATGCCTATATGATAGTCATTTAGGAAAAACGAACCACCTTTCAGTATGAAGCTTATGCATGTGCAAGAGATACCCTTATACGCAATATGAGTTGTAATCACATCAGGTCTAAATGACTTTGGTACGTCTCTAAGAAAGAACTTGAAATCCATAAATTGGGATTAAGACCCCTTGCCTATTGATAGACTTTGGTGACCTACTGATGAGCCCCTGCATGGACCGTGGGTCATGGGCAACACTTAGTCGGTTTGAGAAAGCTAGTATGGACCATAGTCCACAGTTGAAGATGGAGCACTCCAATGTTTATTTATTTAATTCCTATACTATATGGATCATTTTCCCATCTAATGAATTTAATTATGTTTGTTTTAATGATATATGATTTTAGAATTGTTATTTGAATTTTTCTTAATATCTGGATATTTTATTTATCAAATTTAAATTTATAAAAATAGATATAGGGATTTTAGATTGATTTAATTATTTAAATTACGTTTTATGAATTTCTAAAAATTATATAATATTTTAATTAATTTGATTATTGCATGGGAGACCCAATGAGCTATATGGGCCCACCATTGCAATGTGGGTGCGGCCCATGAGTGCCACCTAGGGTGGCATGCTCCACTCCAAGGACTTTTCTCATTTTGTTGGATCATGCTTTGGCTTGAAGAAAAACGTTTGATGTTCTAGAAAGCCTTTGCGTTGAGAGCTTTGAATGGATTTTTTGAAAGCATGAGGAGGCTTGTGTATATTTTTGGCATGCATAATATTATGATTGAATTATTTTTTTTAATTTCTATTGATGGGAAAATAGTTTAAGAAGTGGGAGATAAAGGTTCTAGTACCTTCCATATGATGTTGATGGCCCATTTATGGAATGGAGAGCTTAAATCTCTCACCCCACAAGTCACACAAGATCAATGGTGCATATTTAATCTCACAAGAAGAGGCAAGCTATGAAAAACCCTAAAAAACCCTGACCTTATTTTTGCACTACAAAAAGGCGACCCATGCCCATAAATCTCTATACCTAAAATCTCTCTTCTCTTTCTAATATTTTTATCTCTCTTTAGAATGCCAAATTAAGGGGCACGCCCCACGTAGGAAAGAAAAGCTCTATCTCCCTCTCTTATGGAAAATTAGGGGGCACACCCCACTTAGAACTATCTATCTCATCTTGTTTTGTGATGATCTAAGGGTTGAGTAAAAGTAAGTAGATGATAGCTCTCTTAAACTAGGTTTTATGGGTTGTACCTAAGTTTGAGATTTGTGATCAAGACGAGTTCAAAAGTTGCATTGGAGGGTTTGATCTAAACTTACTTTCTCGGTTGAGATTAAAGGTTGATCGTTGAACCCGTGTCATCAGATGATGTTGACTCGGTGTGGGGTGTAATAAACCTAGTTGAGGTAATCTCCGGCACTCTTTTTTTGTTTCTTGCCATATTTAATTATGTTGTCTTTATATTCCCAAGCATAAGAATTGTGGTTATTTTCTTTGTTTAAAAAAAATTAGTTTAGTGACATCAAGATTTTAAGATATTAGATTTACTAGTTTTATTTTTTCTGAAGCAAGAGTTTATTATAATAAGACTACTTGTAAGTGATCTTTGCTAAATAAAGAAAAAGTGAAAAAGAAAAAAAATGTAAAAAAAATATATATATATATCCCCAACAAAATCACATTAGTCTTTTTTTTAAAATTGGAGCAGACACTATACGAATTCCATATTGTTTTTAGGCACAAATTTACTTCTAAATTCTATGGACATGAATAAAAAAGCCTACCATATGCACCAGA